CTTCCTCACACACACACTCAGTGCAGGCAGCTCTGCTGATCTCTCCTCCCTGGCTGCAGGCTGATAACAGACAGTTGGGATCGCAGCGAAATTCTCTCTGCAGACCCATTCTCACAGCGTTTATCAACCTTTTTCTTACTCAATATCAAGCCACACTTATTGTTTTTACTTTGGCTGTAACTTTGTGTGTGCTCAGGGTGAGTTTGGCTGTGTTTCGCTGTGTATCGCTAAACAAGGAAACCACACCTCCACGGAGCTCAGCGCGATTCACAACGTCCCGACCAATCAGAGCACACTGTGCTCACAGGGAGGGTGGGGGCTGGAGCTACTGGAGCTACAACGAGCCGTTAAAGGCAGAGAGTGAAATTCAGTGAATACACGTAGTTTACAGAGATGCTGTATGAGAAACCAAAGTGAGTTTGGAAAATTGCACAATATAAATCTATTCTAGTAGACCTCAACAATGGAATTATGATCAGTGGAAATGGCCATGACATGGGACCTTTAACATAAACATTTCTATTTTGTTTAGTCTTTTATTGCATATAGGTCATTAACTTCCCAAAAAAAATAATCCCAAAACAGTCGACAAATATCACATTTAGTTTAGTCATTTGATTCCTTGTTGGCCTAGAAACATGCATCATAGCAGCTTTAAAGCACAGGGTTAAAGAGAACGTGTTTGAATAAGAATAAAGGAGATTGAACAGAGTTAGGATCTGTCTACAGCCCCCTGTTGCTCTTTCTGTTTTTTCTCTCTTTCATCTCTGATCTCTTCCTGCCTCTCTCTCTCTCTCTCTCGCTCTCCCCCTCCCCCCTTCTGATAAGCGAGCCGTGGCTTTTAGTTGTTGGGCAACATCAAGGGGATGCAGGAACATCAATAAGGCTCTAACCTGAGAGGGGGCTGTAATGGACCGTGTGTGTGTGTGTGTTTGTCTGTATGTTTGTGTATGCGTGTGTGTGATTGGAAGACCGTGTGTGTGTATGCATGTGTGTGTGTGTGTGTGTGTGTGTGTGTGTGTGTGTGTGTGTGTGTGTGTGTGTGTGTCTGGAACACCGTGGAGTTCTGAGGCAGGAATCGATCCATTACCACACTGCATCATAAAATATGCAGTGTGTTTATCAGCTTTGGGAAGGAGGGGTGAAAGCAGGATTTGGATGATAGATACATTGGTTCTCCTCCGACTGCTCCGTGGCCTGCATGGCTTTTCGGATCTGCATTCGGATGATGTCGATCTTCGTCTTGCTGTCCTGAAGCATCTGCTGAGCCATCTGCAGCAGCTTCTTGTCCTGCAGGGAGGACAGAAACACAGGAGGAGGAGACGTTTCACAATAAATCACTATTTCCCCATTCACAATATCTCTTATGAATATTCAATATCGGCTCTACATACCTACACATATATACTATAAGCTGTGCATGTCTTTGACCAGTTCAAATCTATTATTGCTTTGATTTCTCCTCACCATATGTAACTCCTGGTGGCTCTCACACCTATTAGGGATGTATTACTATACATTCAGTAGTGAACATGTGCCCTTCTAACTTCTACAGTAAGCTGAAATCTGTATACAAATTATCTATCAGTGGATAGAGAGGTGAACATACTGAGTTGGGTTGAGAGCTGACACATGAGGTCTCCCAAAAAAGACCCGGCTTTTGCTATGCCCACTGCTCCTAGTACTAGGATGGGTTAGCAGCGGTCTAATGTCTCTGTGTGTGCTGTGTGAATGTATGTGTGAACATTAAAGAGGGTTTCATCCTCCAATTCTAATTCTTATCGGTTCCTAAACATGCAAATTAACGCTTTCTCTGGTATAGGTGGTGTTCGGTGAAGCAAGGACACTTGATCATTAATAATAATACATTTTATTTAGAGGTGCCTTTCAAAGCACCCAAGGACACCTTACAATTGATCAAATGAGGTTTAAGGCAGTAACAAAGGACCGTAACAGGGAACATGTAGCACTATAGTGAGTAGGCTGTTAAAGGTCCCATGTCATGGCCATTTCTATTGATCATAGTTCCATTGTTGAGGTCTACTAGAATAGATTTAAATTGTGCAATTTAAACGGCTTGTTGGAGCTCCTGCCCCCCCTCCTCCCTGTGAGCCCAGTGGCCATCTGCGAGACAGCGAGACACAGCGAAACCCAGCCCGAAACACACACACACCCCCGCAGCCTGGCTGGGAGTTTATGTGTGTGCTCAGGCTGAGTTCCACGGTGTCTCGCTGTCTCGCCGACCCCACACCAGAGAGCCAGCTCACAGTGTCCCGCTCCACGCAACGTCCCGCCGAGTGCGTGTGTGTGAGGAAATCCGCGGATTGGTCAAAACGTAACGTCACTATACCCAAGAAGTAAAAAATGGAAAAAGAGAAATGTCCAACGAGGCGTTCTGGGTCAGCATAGACAGGTCTTCTCTGTGTTAGAGTTTTACTCGCTACAGGCTGTACTTTGAGGGTTTGTGACTCTGCAGACCGTTTACATGCAGAAAAACCTTCATAACACACAAGGGGACGGGTAATAACCAGAGAAGCATGACATGGGCCCTTTAAGTTAATTCTTTTTAAACAAACTTGAAAAGCGTTTGAATAGAAAATCATGTTTGCAATATATATCGTCCAAATACAACCTCTTAAATTTAGGAAATCGGCTTTTTCATTGAAATAAGAACCATTCATCCCAGCGATACCTGGGCCAGGGTTAGGGTTAGTTCAGAGCTGATACCTTGGTTCCTCCGTTGGCGTATATCGGGATCATGTTCTCCGCCCCCTGTTTAACCTTCAGCTCGATGTTCAGCTGACGCTCCAGAGCCGCGATCCTCCGCTGGATGGCCGACGTCCGGTTGAGCGAACCCGGAGATCTAGGGGCATCTGGGGGAGAGGAGGGAGAGGTCAGAGGTCATATGTTGGTGGAGCAACGTCATCATTGTTGTCTTCTGTACCTCGGCCAATCAATAAAGTATCTATCTATCTATCACAGAAGCTTATAAAATGTCTCCGTTATGGATAAAATACCCTCGTTTTCGTCGGGGCCCTTCACCACGATGTGTGCGTCCAGCTCCTGCAGCTGGTCGTGCAGCGCCTCCAGCTTGCGCTTGGAGCTGCGGATCTGCGAGTCCACCTGCTGGGCGTTCCTCCGCTCCGTCGTGGCTCTGCGAAGGTTCTCCGCCCCCTCCTTGATCTTCAGCTCCTTACGGATCTCCCTGCGGATCCGCTCCCGATGCTCGTCCAGACACTGCTGCACGCTGGAGTCCGAGAAGTCCGAGTTCTGGTCCAGACCGAGCTGCTGGAGCACAGAGAGCCCGCCGGGATCGCCCTGGAGAGCAGGAGGAGAATTCAAAACTTTTATTGTCATGTGTACACAGCTACAGTCTGTAGTTTGAGCAGGAGATACAGAGGGTAGCCCAACAACAAGCTTAGCCTCCAAAATGTAACCCAAACTGGAACCATTGAAGGTTCAAGATTGATGGCTTTTATTGTCATGTGTACATAGCTACTAGGGATGAGAATGATTAATCGAATATTCAAAATGATTCAGGTATTCGAATACGAGTTACGAATATCTTTATTGTAATTTCTTCTTCTTTCTTTTTTTACGGGAGAAGTGCCTCAGTTGATTACATATTATCAAATGGATTAATTAAATGTATACGACAGTGCCATTTTAAATATCTTTAGAAACATGTCAAAGAGAACTTGGTTTGGTTTCTATATTTATTTGAATTTCTTTTTTTTTTTTTTTATATTTAACTTTTTTTTTTTATTCGGTTAACCGTTTTTTTAGGGGTTGGAGAGTCGAATACACATTTGCTTTCAAATTCCCATCCCTAATAGCTACAGTGTAGATATATCAATGAAAATCTGAGGTCACAGACTCCTCCAACAGCACAACACAACAAAACAGATAACATAGTGCAAGGAGAGTCTACAGTAGGTCCTATATACAAGTACTTATGATGTATTAGATCAATAATGTGTAAGTTGCATCCAGATGAATGTTATGGAGATCATTAGGAGAAGGCGGTAAATTACAAAGAGGTAGCCACAGAGTGAGGAGAGAATTCACTTTTGTTTTACTGTGTCTTAAAGCGTTGAGGTGATCAGTCCAAGCTGGTTGGATGAGTGTCTCCAGATTCAGCAGACTGTGTAAATATTACATTTTTCTTCACTTTTAAAAATTGTTAAAACTTCACATTTGAAGAAATATCTATAGGCCTACTGAAAGTGCTAAAGTAATCTTCTGTATCACTTTTATGGTTGTAACAATGATGACATACCCAATATAAAAGCATTTGAAAAAGTCAGACACACTTACATTTGATTTTGTTTGTAAAAAGTTTTTACATTTTTATTTTTGCTTTATTGAAGAATATGAAGGCCTTAAACCGAGGTTTGACTTTGGCTTGCATAATATTTATTCGCTTATATATATATCTTTGTTCTCTTTGGAAAGGCTGGTGCAGAGAGTAATATGCAAAAGAAAGTGAAACTATGCTTAGCCAACTGCAATCAGGGGTTATACAGTTAGAGTTACATTACATGTTACTTGTTAGACCCTTTTATCCAAAGCGACTTACATACTCAATACTGTGGACAATCAATCCCCACAGGAGCAATTTGGGGTGAAGTGTCTCAGGGACAGAACGACATGCTGACTGCAGTGGGGTTTGCACCTGTGCCCCCCTGATCCGAACACCACCCACTGCACCACACGCCTCCGAGTTGATTAAAAGGCTGCTCATAGTAACCCTGCACTCGAGTAGAAAGCAGCACATCCCAGAGAATCCTCAGCATGTGAGTCAAAGTGTGTAAACAGCTGACATCACATCTCCTCCTGATCAACACTAACCGCGTTACTGATGATCAGAAAATCTATCCGTGTCTGGGCGGGTCACAAGTAAACAAACACACGTAAGTGCATATGTATACAAATGTAACGTAGATGAGTAAAGCCTTACTTATGAATGCAGTGTTTGTGGTTTTTCACCCAAAGAAAGCCAGACCTTTCACAAGGAACAGATTTCTTACTTCAACTTAAAACAATTCAGCTTTTGACTGAGATCATCACGCCAAACATTAGCCACCTTTAGCTTAGCGGTGGTGACGTGAAGTCATGTGACCGTGCTGTAGTTCCTTTATAGCCCAACATTAGCCACCTTTAGCTTAGCGGTGGTGACCTGAAGTCATGTGAACGTGCTGTAGTTCCAAGGCACACAGGGGATAGGCTCAACACGTTGTCGTATTGCACGTCAACTTTAGGAAGGTGGGAGTGAGAGGTGACACCCGTAACACGACGTCTACCTAATACCGAAATGACACGACCTCTGGAATCCCTCCACCATTAGTCTAGACCGATTTGACACACCGGGCGCGAGGTGTCACTTTCCGGGCTCGTGACTAGACATCGCACACACACGACTACGAGCGGATACAGTGTAACTTAATTTCAATACTGTAGAGATCGACAACCCCCCATACTCTACAGGACGTACTACCTGTATATGTGTAAATTAACGATATCTCGCCTCGTCCGCTCCTGCATAAAAACAGCGGCAGGTACTTCAATCGTAGAGTTACCGGGTGCTGCTTTTTTCTGGTACCCTATAAGAAGGTAACCTAAAACGTAACTACACATCCTTATTAGAGACACTGTTGTGGTGCAATTACTATAAATATACAAAACAGTCGTACTATTAGGTGTATAAATTTGAAGTACTAAGACTTCGATTTTTCGATTACGAACCCGGATATTCCCGTTATGTCGTGCAGCAGTGTACTGAAGTCAGTGGTGCCGATTTGATTTCCAGCCGATTACAACCCGCCATATTCCTTGATGTCGTGCCAGTGTACCTCGAAGTGCCAGTGGGTGGCGATTC